TGCCCATTGAGACCAGAGGACGTGCATTACTAGTAAGCATCTTCACATTTCCTCCCACAGTTCTCAAAACAGATTTTCACTGAGGTCAAATTGAGACAGTTTAACAACTTGCCATTTTGTTTTGTCCCTCTATTCCAGCAAGATGCCTGAAATATGCCAAATGGAAATGAAGGACAATTGCACTTTTGTAACAAAACATGATCTCATATTAAAGCTGGAACAATTTTCTATGAATTTTAATGTTGCATGTGTTGGGTTCTTCATAAATAATTATGCAAAATCTGTTCAAACCCTTTTTCCTGTTTTGACACATTTCCTATTTTAACAGGAAGTTGGAAAAGGACACATCAAAGCCCGGCAAAACCACAATTTACTACTTGTTTTAGTCAGTGGCAGGTATTGAAAGAGGGGGTGATCTTATGCTACTGAGCAGTTTATTGAACAAAACTTTCTATATGCTCTTATGAACAAGATTAGTCATCAATATTTTTAGTCCATTTTTCCAAAAGTGTAAGGAATCTGCTTAAATTTTGTTTTATTAACATTTTGCAGAGGGTTTTGTTTTAGTCATAGTTTTCGCCTTTTGACAATGTCAATATTGCATTACTTTTAGACAGTTTTACTAAAATGCCATTCATTTTCGTTGCGTAAAACAGCATTTTAGTTGAGAAGAAAAATTAAACCAAATATTCAAACATTATATAAGCATATAAAATATATAAGCAGCATTATCAGCATAATTATAACAAAACCAAAACTGTCCATGTAGAAACCTAAACTCCTGCAATAACATTGTAATCAGTAAACTATTAAAATACAATGTTGCAATGTTACAATGTTTGCATTCACCTCATATTCGCTGATACAAGTTGTAATATTTCTGATTAATCTCATATAGGTTGCGTTTGGGTGCGTTAACTAACCTGTTAACAGAGTGATTCAGCTGCCTGTGTATTTTAATATCGTACGCTGTTTTCCCTCGTCATTTCGTCAACTGTATTAATTAAGATTTAATTCTCGTCATGTTAATGACCATTTACATGCCTAATTTAGTTGACGACAAGAACACTCCCTGTTATTTATATGTGACCCTGGACCACAAAACCAGTCTTAAGTGTCAATT